GTTCGATCAGATGCGCGAGTCTGGTGGATTATAGCTCGTCAGAATCTAGTCCGTTAGAATCGTTTTGCGTCGCGAGACTTTCGGAAACTGAGTACGCGTTCCTCGCGTAGCACCCGAACAATTTGCAGATATTGGCAGTTACGCATTCGATTTTGGGACGAGAAACGGCTGCGTCCAATGACATCCATATTTCCATCACTTTACGCAAAATATCGCGAGAAAGTCTATTTCTGTCTATAAGGAAAATAGTATCGCTGATGCTTTACTACTCTAATAACGAAAAATAAGATATATTTCAAATTGTAACCATATTATATCATTAGGTGATTTATGTAGAATTAATTAGTGCTAATTATAAATGTTACGGATTATAAATATTCCGAAAAGAGAGAAAAAGCTTAATTTCTCTCGAGCGAGAAGTGTGTTTTTAGCTTATTATAGAAACACTATTTTTAATTTTATTCGAGACCTCTCTTATCAATTTCTATATGTATATATGTATATATATATATATATATATATATACATATATATTAAACTTGGCTAATTTCAGTTATCGGCCGAATTATCACAGATGACGTAAAATATGTCTACATACCATAATAAAATATATCTACATGCAGTCGCTGTTTATCGTTTCTGATAACGATGTAAAAAACATAACTTTCAAGAGACGTCGCGAGCGACGAAGGACTCCGGAGTATCATATGCCGTAGATACGGAGCGAAGCTCCAAAGTGGCCGCTACATTGTGGGAGGTCTTAACATATCCAAGTCGAAAATTGGCCGATCTGTTAGCGATGCCGGTATGCATGCGTCCGAGAGATCGGGGCGCGAAACTACACTCGTGGTCTTCGTTCCGCGTTGCATGTGTGCTCACATTTCGAGCCTCGTCCGGGCAGATTCGATGTTGGAATGCAGGGCCACTTGTAGGGGCCACCCAATGCCCGCGGAGTCCATTTCCATTGTTGGCGGCCTGTATCGGTAGCCAATGCCGCGAGAATTCCAGAGCTTCGTGCGGAGATACGATTCATTCGTGTCCCGCAACGGCAACCGCCGTGCCGCTCGCATCGCTCGCATTATTTATACGGTGATCCATAATATCGCTGGCGAAGGTATCCTAGGGAATGGGATTATGCGCGAAGCGACGGATCTTTATGCTCGATGCCCCAAATGCAACCATGGTCAGATGATAAATTCTAACCCGTCGGTTGCAAACGATAGTATCTCTCTGACACTCAAATTTAGACTTGCGTTCTAAAAGATGCACCTCTAAATGCCCGTTTTCACAAATGATTAACTTTAATCTCGGTTCCACTTCCATCCACAGATTTGGATCATCTGAATTATTTATTAATATTAATTATTTTGATAATCCAAGAAAATTATTTTCATCTTTATCTAGCTAAATTGTTTTTCCATGTATAGATGATAGAGAAACTGTTTTCATTTTGGATATAAAAATGAATTTAATCTATATATTTTATTGCAAATCTAATGTGTCATAACACGATAATACAGTTTTTAATACGTTCTGTAGTCTCTTAATCTGAATTATCCAAATTCTGTAGACTCTAATCTGAATTATTCAAGTTCTCGTATAAATTTCATAGAGCATAATACGTTACGTTCAATTTGTGGTTTATAAATTATTTAAATTGAAAAGTGTAGTTCAATGCAGCGTGTATAAGGCCAAACCGAGAAGTTGATTTCCATTGTTGGTGGCTGAACAGCTCTCAAGAATTCCGAATCCGTGTACGGAGATTGAATTTGCGCCACAGCGTTCCACGTGATTCCTACCGTTTGCATTGCCCGCATTATTTGTACAGCGGACGGTAACCACCACCGTTGTAGTAAAGACGTTCTGTATCGTTCATTGGATCTTGGAGCGTTTGCGTTTTAGACCACACAATGCGGGTTCACGTTCTTGTATCCGGGGCTTAAATGATATACCATGTGCGAAACAGTCGTTGCATCGGAAAGCAGCTTGTAAAGTGTACTGTAAAGAGCTGTGACTCTTACACTTATTCTCATTTGAGGAAAAATATTATTACTACACGAAAAAAACAATTTTGCTGAAGTATATTAAAAAATCAGGCTAGCTACAAATCATGAAAATAATTATGTTCGACCATCAAAATAATTATGCAGAACATTCAAATATAGATAATATAATAATAATGCTGCAAAAGCATTTTGACATTCTAGCAATTAGTTTGAGTACTTTGAGCCTTCAATATACAATAATTATTTTGATGATTTAATACAATAATTTTTTATATAAATCTCGTTTGAAGGAAAAAGATTTATAAGATTTTGCAAAACGTAATATTAATAATGTAAATTAGTATAAAATATCTGACTGAAAAGACTGATATTTAGAATGCAAAAAATAAAAAAATGTAATTCAAGGTTTCAGGTTCAAGTAATAATAACATTTAACTATATTGGATTTCAATTAGCTGTTAATTAAAAGATACGGATTAATGTGTAATGTTAATAAAAAAAAGAAATTATGAACCAAGTCTCTTCTTAACATAAACTAAAGTAATAAATTATTTTAGTCTAATAAATTTCGTTTGTTACCATGAGTTTGATAATTTTTTGTAATCAATTTTTTTTTAATTTTTTACAATTTAATTATACATAGATATTACAATGAAAAACACTAACTTTTAGACTTGATGAAGACTGTTGAAAAACCAACATTCCTGTCATAAATTTAATAGCGGAGAAATGCGCGAGCGAAGTTTTCTCAGAAGTATCGTAAATTTTCTTTATTCAAACAGGACGATAAAACGTCGAACAATTCGTATTTATGATAATAAAATGCGCGTCGTTAAATCTATTCTACACCCGTATCCGCATTACGGTGACGCGCAGCTCGAGAAAACATTAATCGAAGAGAACGACGGCTGAACACCGGTGTACATCCGATTCCGATTGTACATCCGATCGCACCGCGATGAAACGATCGTGAAAATCGCGCCGTAATTTCGTCTCTCGTGCGCGAGTCCTATGTTACATTACGTTACGTTATGTCAGATCGCGTAATCTTACCGCGAGCAAACGTGTTAACAGGCGCATGCACACAAGTTACACGACGATAAACTCCAAGCGCCCGTTTCATCGCTCGGTAAGCGTCATTTAATTCACGTATATCCTCGTAGGCAGTATATCGCGTTTGTTACACGATCAACGCCACACAGCGTTGCCCAGGGGCGGATCCAGAAACGATCCGGCTTCAACTCTGACCGACTTTAACTCCGACCGTTTCTACGCAACGCGAAAATCCATTGAAATCAAATATAGCGTGTCATTTCTCGCTTCGCAGAATGTAAAATAGCTTGAACTAGAATACGAATAATCGACAGTAAATTTTCCAGAGGTCGGTTCTTCCGAAGACAATAAAAATCTAAAATCAAGATATAGGAGGTTTAAAGACGTTTTAAAGACGTTTTAAAGATTTTTGAGAAAATCATTTGAAACTTTTAAACGTAGAGACCCTCTCTAATAAAAATATGGGCATAAAACAATTACTTTTGATCGATCCGCCATGTTTTAACAACTTCTGAAAAGAGAGAGGGAGAGAAAGAGATAAGAAAAGGATAAAAGAGGAAAGAGAAAGAATGTGTTCTTCTCTTTTGCGTGATTTTGTTGAAACTAAAAACTCTGCATACAAAACGCGGCTCTTGTTAGGATCTTCATTTAAAAGACTTATATAAGCGACCTCTGGTCTATAGACGATCTTTGATGTTGCAACAATATTTAATATTGTAATATTTAATGAATAATATTATTAATCGTCTGAGATTATGTTGAGCTCTCAAACTATATTTTGAATTATTAAAGGAAGCATCAGTAATATACAAAATAATTGTATAATAATATTGAGTTTCTACAAGAACACTTTATGATAAACCCTTTTTGTGTCCCGATTTTGGACTTATACAGTTCGGATCATATTGTATATTATCAATTTTTCCATAACAACTACTAACAACTCAGGATTTCTAAAAATTCTCCATTATTGATACACGTTGCGCGCTCATATCCTATATAATTCACGAACATTTTGCAGTTACAAAAAGAATTAGGAAATAATTATTTGGTTAAAGTATACGATTTCAGACATATTCTCCACATTTCAGGGAAAAGATACTCTATTTATTATCGAGCGAAGGGTGTCCCAAGCAACATCGCGTGTTTGCAATTCGTGTCCGCGCCTGTAACGTTCAGCGACGTGGTCCCGACGACGTCACGCCGCCATGAATGGCCGACCCCGTGCTTGGATCATGTAGCGTTGGAGCCTTTAGAGAGTAGCGGAGAGTCGTTGATCAGAGGCGAGGTTATCTCTTGTCTCTGCGAGAGAGGCGGCCGAATGAAAGGCACCGACAACGTCCAGCAGCGGACCATACATCAACTCGCGGCCTGAGTAAATAAGCGGTGCCCTGCGCGACCCCCCCTCCCCCCCGTTCCCTCGCTCCCTCGTTTCTCAGCATAAGTCTCGTACGCGAAACTACCATGATAAGTGTCCTACGAAAAAGTCGATCGCTTGTTTTTTTATCGTTCTACCGAGTCCATTATCTCGCAAACACGGCTCTGGCTTGACATTGAATGAATTATCGATATTGTATTATGTTTTATATAGGAAATTATTAGGTGTTGGAATTAATTCGTAGCGTTTTTAATGAAAGAATGTTATTTATTTCACATGAGCATTAAAAAATACATTAATGAAAGTACTTCCCATCACTTGTAAAACGCTACGAATTAATTCCAACACCTAATATATGATATCATTTACACTGTAATTATAATTATATTATAATATATACAAGTATATATTAGGTGTAGTAAAAAGAAATCCTTATTTTTCTAATGTAATAGATGGCTTTAGTAATCTGTATCTCGTCTACGCGTGATCTATTGGAAAAATAATGGATTTCTTTTTACTACACCTAATATTATATCTATAGTTACACACAGATCGCTCATTTGTTACAACAATGAGATACAGCTCGAAAAATAATTTCCCCAAAAATAAGTTTAACTGTTTTGAATCATTAAAATTTTATATTATTTCTAAAATTCAATTATGATGTAATAACTGATTATAGAAGAATAAAATTATATTCTTTTAAAGTGTTTTTTTTTTACGTTTTCATTCTTTTTTTTTTTATAAGCAACTTAAATGATAATTTTTTAATTATGTTATCATTATTTTAACAAGTGAGTGATATATAGTAATTATAATATAATTACTATATATAAAACACTTTCATATATAATGTATACATATATAAATATATATATTGTATATATAATTACTATACATATATAAAATCAGGCAATACATGATCATGCCGTGTACTTTATTTACATGTCTTAATTGAGGCTCGATTCAACGCATTCGCATGCTACCCTATAATCACCCAACACCTGCCGCAATAGTAAATTATCGTCGTGAAAGGTTTATTTATGTATTATATCGAGGATGGGGAAATGAAAGTCGGTGACTATACGTATATGCGTGTATGCATGACAGATTAAAAAAGAAATTCATTCGTTAAAATATCACGTATGCGATAAATTGTTACTCCTTATAATCAGTGAGTCTTATGCTTCTTTTCTCCATCAACCATGTCATTTCAATTATGTACGTAATCGCTCGCCTCGTCATTTTAATTATTATCGTCATACTCTTGGAAATCGTGATTCTCAATGATATCCTAAATTGGTGATCGATACGAGGATAAATTCTTGCAACTTAATAAAAGATTTAAAATGTGATGTATGTCGCGCAAATAATTCACGCTGAAATAATCGATTCAAAATATTTGTCGTTACGTTTTGCGAAATTACAGACTGGAAACTTGACTGGAGACAGAGATTGATATATAACATGCAATGTCAATTCTCGTTTTACGCACATCGCATTTTTTACAATCAAATTTTAATATTGATTTACATAAATAATATAGTGCTTCTCCATTAAGCCATAAAAATTTATGACATCACAGCCAGATTCTTATGAATTTTTATTAATCTATTTTGATGATTTATCGTAGATATTTATCTCAATTGATTATATTGGAGATTTCTAATATTTATTATTTTAAATTATTTATGATAAATGACGGATCAAGAATGTTTTATGTTGATATTATGTTATACCGAAGTTATTCTAATTTCTGATATATATTGTATTTTGACGTCCTTTGTGTGTCCTATGAACTCATTTCCATTCACCAAAAGCCATTGATCCTAGGCTCACATAAGTGACTTTGAGGCAAGATGATGGATATTGAATTGCTTAGTTTATTCAATTTCGTGGGTATATCGCAAAGTAAGCGCATCCCACGAGAATACACCTTTTTCCGTAACCTTCTAAAGAAGTTAATAACAGCATCAAAGTCCTGTGGCCTTTGAACATGAATCGTACCATCTGCGAGATTACAATCCATTTCTACAAATTTAATAAAAAAAAAAAAAAAGACTTTTAGTGTAACACTTATCTCTTTTATTTTAAAACATTAAACGCTTTGTGAACTAATAAGTTAAATAAGTCAAATAAACTAAGTTAAAATAATAATCAAATAAATAATTGTAAATAATTATGTTTATATTCTTGTTTCCATAAATTTCCTTATAATGACTGTTGTAACTATTTTTTTTATTATGCATTGTGTTCTATTATATAATATGTGCATAGAATGGAATGATATTGTGAGATATTCTAAAAAATATTAATTTTTAATTTTAATTTTAGGTTGAGAGAGTTTCTTTGTAAACACGAAAAATCACAAAATGATATTATTGCAAACACTTGTATTCTTTGAGGAAATATTTGTACATGAAGACGATAATTTTTCGCGATATGACGAAATGAATTACAGTTCAATTTTATAAATCTAATAAAAGACCTTTAGTAAATATAACATTTGTCTGATTAATTTTAATTATCTTTTATTTTAAAACTCTAAATGCTTTTTGCAATTAAAATTAAATGAGTTAAACTAAATTAAGTTAAAATAATTCAATAAATAATTATAAATAAATTGTTGCGATTTGTTCATTTATTCCTATGCATACATTAATATCCTTGTTTTCATAAATATGATTGTTATAACTATCTCATATATGGTTCAAAAAAATATATGTATAGAATGAAGAAGACATTCATAAACTAATTCTGGGACATCCTTAAAAATTACAAAGTTTTGTGCTGGCTTCTTGTGAACGAAATCGCGAAAGGATGCTATTTAAAACATTTACGTATGTTCTTGGAGGAAAAAAAAACATTTATACGTAAAGACGACATAATTTTTCGCGACATGACATTTGCGAACGTCTTCGCACATTATCGGAAGTTAGATACTGATGCAACTTACATCGTCACTGTCATAATATCCGCATTTTAAACATGCACGTACCGTTCGCACACACCAGCGCACGATGAAGATCCCTAAAATAAAATAGCTATCCGGTTGGCAGTTAAACCGGTAATATGTTTCAGGAGTAAATGGCCGGATTCTGATAAACACAAGTTATGCGCTTACGCGCAATGTCTTTTCGACCGTCCAATAAATTAAAGCCTCCCCTTATTCCTATGAGCTCGAGCGTTCACCATTCGGTGAACAGGAACGTTAGTATGATTATAATTTATTCTTGATTAGCATTAATCCTCACGTTCGCTTCGATCGCTCCCTCCTTCTTTCTCTTTCTCTCGTTCCCCTCTATCTTTTTATCCCTATTCAGTTCTACCCGTCGCCCTCCTCTCTTTACCTCTCTTTCAGCATTAGCTTCACCGTAGCTTTTATTGGGCCATTGGTCCGGTCGTAACTTACACTTATGATTATTAATGCCGACAGATTTATCGGGGATTGGCACGAAAATCTGAAACGCGAAATAAAATGGTACATAAATTCAATTAAGGCCGGGTGTCGCGCGTGAAAGTACCATAGCCGGACCTATCGCGCGACGTGACGGCGTTTTCCTGAGCGAATCGTCCATCGTTGGATATCGGTATCGATAACTCGGGTATTTAATTTGATTGTGAATCGAGAGTGATACAATGTTTCTCCATGATATCGCTGAACGCGAGTAAAAGCCCACAATATAACGGAGAAAATCAACTGCTGAATATCAAGTATCGATTGCACCGTTTGGATTAAGTACGTATACTCGAATATTCTCTCTCTCTCTCTCTCCCAATCTAAGCAGCTATTTCGAGAATATTATGACTGCCAAATTTAACTATAGCGTTTGAATCTACTTTCTAAACCTGAATCAGTGAATAGTCATTAATTACCCAGTTGGCACTGACAATCAGTGAAATTCAACTAAAAAAGGAAGAAGAATGTTTGAACATATGATTAAAATACTGATATTTGTACGTTAATTTTAATATTCATTGAATTTGAGCACTAAAACAAGATTAATTAGATCACATAATAAAGATTAGCTAGATTACGGGATTTCTCACATTTAATTCACTGATTACCAATGGCATACTTGGCACCGGTATCAATGATTATCCACTGATGCAAATTTAGAGAGTGTTTTTACGTATATGCGTTGATAAATAAACTCATTAACGCGCTGTCGTAATATTATTTAAATATTATAAAAATCTGCAGATTTATATCCCATGCGGTATGTCACTCGAAAGATAATTAAGGTCAAGGAAGAAAACGGACAAACTCTCTAATATGCTAATTATAAAAAAAAAAGCCAGTCTGGCAGTCATTATATCTCGTTAATCACTCTCGGTCTTTTAAATGCCTCGCGACCTCACTCAATTAGCTGTTAACTCAGTGATTGCTTCTTCTGCCTGTTTTCTTATACGAGAGGATATTTTTCTCGAGATTCATGTAACGCATCGGGTAATTATAAATATCGGGACGGGCGATCAATATCGGGTGCATCGCGTTAGTCCGAATGACGTTATCAATTCAAAACCGGTATTAACTGCGGTAAGAAAAAGCATCAATAACCGAACGCGTCAAGATGTCACCATACTTGATTAATGGAGTGACTGTTGGGTGGATAATGATGGATGAGGAGCACGTCGTTTCTGGGTATGGATGACTAATCAGTCTACATTCGCGCTCCATTGAAAATTTTACTATTAAATTTATGTAAGAGCGTTATTCGATAGTAATATTTGCAACAACAATGATTGTAGTAATGCCTATTGCGTAAACGTATTGTATATATTGCGTGGAACTGCTATGCGTTATCTCTGATAGACATTTCCGATAACGCTG